TGCCCCCAAAGTTGCAAAATATTACCCACCAATGCCATCTATAAATGATAAAAAAACATTTCACACAGGGGATCCCCCGCCTTTGCCGGCCCATGCAGTACGGACCTCCTATACTGCGCTCTACGCGCTGGTAGAAGATGTAGCACCCGTTTGGGCCGGCCCATGTCCGGTTGGCCTGTTTTTACAATTTCTTTTTTTATTTTTTTTTCTGTTTTCGTCTTTTTCTACTTTAAATAATTTGTACTTAAAAGAGTTCCGAAAATTAAAAAATGAGAATTTTAAAATAAAATATTTAATAAGTCATAAAATATTTATGGATTCAAATTTTCTTTGTGAGTTTATAAAAAATCTTTGGTTATTAAAAAAATTCAAAACTTCTAAAACAGATCTTCAGAAATAAATTTTTTTTTATGGTTTTTGAAAAAGTTCTTGTATTAAAAAAAGTAATAAATTTGATAAAAAATCGCCAATTCAAAAAATGTTCAGGAATGAAAAAATATCCTAAAAATTCAAAAAACTGTTCATGAATTACAAAATAGTTTATTCATTCTTAAAATATTTGCTGGTTCAAAAAATCATTATGCATTTGGAAACATGTTTGTTAAATCAAAAAAATGTTTGTGAATTTCAAAAACTGCTTCACCAATTTCCAAACAATGTTCATTGATTCAGAAAATTGTTAAAAAATTTATAGAAGTGTTCATGAATTTGAAAATTGTTCACGAGTTTCAAAAAATGTTCATGGTTTCAGGAAATAGAGAGTGATAGTGTATCTCGATAATGCATCAAAATGTGATCATGGCCGTTGGAGATTATGATTTTTTTCTCCCATTACAACGCACCAGCCTTTTGGTAGTTTCTCAATCCAGCAGACCAAAGGAAATCTTCCACTTATGAGCAACCAATGTTCTTTTCGTTGAGTTTAACATGTTAAATTAGGTGCCTTTAGTTGTCTATTGATGTTAGCATACTTTGTAAGTTTGTATGATGGAAAACTATGCGTGTCAAACTATGAACAGAAGATATTAGGCTAGGAGATCCTATCGCCTTACATGCAAAAAAAAAAAAAGAGATCCTATCTCCATTGGGAATTTTTAAGAAAGTTACAGCTGGCTTGTTCATTTTGCTCGGGCCATTTGCACAAAGTTCCTTTGTAGCTTTTGTTTCCAGTTCCCAGGCCAATTAAAAAAATTACTGCAGAGGAGGCAATCACTATCATGACTCTTCGATGTGAATATGAACAAGCTGATCTCACAACATGTAGCGTCAAATGATCATCAACTGAACCTGCAGTTAGCGTACTTTGTGCCTACCCGTTGTTGCTTCATTTAAGCTATGTGTTGTTTCTTAGAGTATATGGTACTGTATGTTTGGCAGCATTCTTGTTTATATCCTCTGCAGCTAATGTTGTTCTTAGGTTGGTAGGGCCAGATGAATTAGGCGAAATAGAGACCGAGGTAGTGGATTATTGGCATCAGCAACCAAGAGTCCAGGTGCATAAGCGTCTTACTTCGCTGCACAAATGTGCAAGGCATCAGGAGATATGGTGAGCTGAGGATAGTCTGGTCCTTTCTGTGAATCCAATGGGTTTGTTAGATACTCCCTCCGTTCCTAAATAATTGTCTTTCTAGCCATCTCAAATGGACTACAACATACGGATGTATGTAGACATGTTTTAGAGTGTAGATTCACTTATTTTGCTCCGTATCTAGTCACTTGTTGAAATCTCTAGAAAGACAATTATTTAGGAACGGAGGGAGTACATATAAGTGGTTTATCTAAGCTTTTTGGTGTCTGACCAGATGTCCGTGTTTCCCGGTTTATTCTAAACTGATGGCGTGAGGCCATATTGTAATCTTTGACCCATGCCGAGACTTGAAATTAAGGAATCCTCGCTGCTGTTGTTGATATGGCTGAAGGCTGCTCATACGTTTAACATAAGATATCCATGGTGAACTAATTTTCCTGTTTGTAATTCAACAGGTGAAATGTGAAAGAATGTGAGGCTGAGCAAGCCTTTGACAAAGGGAAACCTAACAAATTTTGGACGCAAGTTTCAGGTTTGTTGTGGAAAATGCAAGCCGCTACAAATTTTGGATGCAAGTTTCAGGTGTGTTGAACAGAGGCTCAACGATCTTGATGAACTGGACGGCCCTGACTGATGGTTTGAGAAGGTTGAACTAGACGTGGAGTTGCATTTCCGGTGGTCAGTCACCGACATGGGCTCGAGTTCTCCTTTCTCTGCGGTGGTGACAGGCTCAAGTTCATATTGGCCATCACTTGCGACGTACTCCCTCCGTTCCGGTTTACTCGTCATGGGGGTTTTAAAATTTGAACGACGAAACATTTACAAGAAACCCCCTGTGCATCTTCAAATTGTACAAAAATAGAACACGACAGGCGTGAGCGGCTCACGCGTGAAGAATCGGCCGCCGGCCTGATCCCGATCCTTATCCCCTGCCAAAAATCTCCTGAAGCCTCTCCGCTGCCTCCGGTCGTGGATCAACGGAATCGAGGCCATCTCCTTCCATCACGACTGCCGCTGCCCCCACGAGCTTGACGCCGACGGGCGACCTCAATCCTCCCCGAGCCAGTCCGAGCATACCACGAGCCACGCTTGTCCCGCTTGAGCCACGCTTGTCGGAAAGCCACGGATCAACTGAATCGATGCCGCCCCCTCCCAATCCGGTCGCTGCTTGCACACTCGAGCTTGTTCCTCCAGAACCCTTTTCCCCTCCCAATCAGGCCTCCCCGAGCCATTCAAGATCTTCAGGGTGATCTGCTGGTCCTCCAGAACCCTTTCCCCCGCTCATTTCCTTGCTGGTTGGCCTAGCCGTCGTGGTCCTCCGCTTGCCGCCGCTGAAGCTCGTCACAGTAGCTCCTCCTGCCCGCAGGTCCGTCCCTGACAGCGCCAATTCGCCATCATCGCGTCATGGTGGACGACAGCAGCTCGCCGGCATCCAGTCTCCGTGGCGTCCTGTCGCCGGCATCGTGTTGGTGGTGGTCTGGATCTGGCGCCTTCGGCCTCGCATCGATTGGAATCCGTGGCCGGCTTGAACTCAAAGGTCCAAGCTTTTTGGAAATTCGCCGCGGGAAGGAGGAGAGGAGCGCGGCGACGCGATAGAAGGTGGGGGGAGAGCGTGGCGGCAGCGCGGCGACGAGCCGGAGAAGAGAGAGAGGGCGAGGACCGCGGGTTCGGTCGGAAATAGATGAAGAGGGTTTTCAGAAAAAGACCGTCGCGATGAGTAAATCGGAACGGAGGGAGTACATCTGTGACCCTGATCAGCCGGTGAATTACTCCAATCTTAGGAAGCAGGGAGACGGTTAGCTGCTCGCCTGCTCCTTTCAAGCCTATCTCCGTCGCCGCATCTGTGTACAGGCCAGCCGCTCGTCAATTGTGTACAATTTGTACTTCGGTTTCCTTGATAAATTGATTGTTGTTTTTTTCAGAATGGAGGCTCAAGAAGAGTCTGGCTTTAAATTAACAAAGCCACTGACTGGCCAAGATTACACAAGGCCATCAAGCATGAGCAACGACCGAAAGATACATGAAAACTGACTGAGAAGCTGACAACACAACACACACTACTACACACCAAAAAAATACAAGAGAAATTCTGCAAGTAATGTCGAAGCCCGCTGCATCACGGGACCAAAGACAGACAGGAAAGCAAAGTAGCATCAAGGATCAGTCCTTAGCATGGAAGCACCGAGAGCTGCCTGACCATGGAGCTTCGGACAAACGAGCACCTGTCTTCTTTTAATTATGATGGCACATATATATGTCGTTTTAGTGGGCTGATATTGATATGCCCTTTTTTTCGTCTTTGTGTTGAACTTGTGGTGTATCCTATGAATTCTGCAAGTAATTTCGAAGCCCGCTGCACCACGGGACCAAAGACATACAGGAAAGCAAAGTAGCATCGAGGATCAGTCTTTAGCATGGAAGCACCGAGAGCTGCCTGACCATGGAGCTTCGGACAAACGAGCACATGTCTTCTTTTAATTATGCTGGCACATATATATGTCGTTTTAGTGGGCTGATATTGACATGCCCTCTTTTTTCGTCTTTGCGTTGAACTTGTGGTGTGTCCTATGAATTGGACTTTCTCGTGAGCGCCATTTTTATTGCGACAACTGCTTGTTGCGCCTACAAGTAAGTAAGTGCGTAAGTGCGTGTGACCATCAAGTCTTTCATTGTAGTAGTTTCATTTGCTAACAGTGTGCTTGTACAAGCATGCACTTTTGGATCTCAAGAGAAAAAGTGCATGCGCCTTTGGGTGTGTGAGGGGGCAATCAGGATACATTGCCCAGGTAGGATTTTTCAAAACGCAACGATTTCACAGATTAACTAATACTCCGCCAATTTGGTTCATATTTGGTTCCGCGGTGATCGATTGTGATAAATAATTGTGTGTGCTTCTCATTGCGGTGATCGATTGTGATAATTGTGTGTGCCCCATATTGCCGTTTTTAGATGAAACTCATGGGCACTAGCACCCATGGTTTATTGATATAGGAGAAGCATCCCTTGTGAGAAACCAGAAATTCGTCCCCGACGTGGCTCGAACCCTGGTTGCTGGAGACGCCACTGCGCTCCCTTGCCACTAGGCTACAGACTAGTTCTCCATATTGCCGTTTTTAGGGGAAAGAGAGCAACAATGAATAACATCTTTCTTGTGCTTTCTAAGTCATAAACGAAGACCACAATAATCACCGCAATACAATCTATTGGAAACCAAATACATCCCAAGTTTTATGTATACAATCAATTAAGAACTTTGTTTCTTTCAGTTACATCTATATATGGTCTTGAACACCCCCTTTGAGAAAGGGGAAAAACCTACACCAAAAAGAGTCACCATGTCCTCAGTTTGGGCAAAAACTTCCTAAATTTTTTGTCTGAAAAAACAATAGTCACATGGACCGCCTACACGTGCTCTCATCACGTAAGTACGTTCCTAGCTAGAGAAGAAGAGGATTGGCATTTCAGGCGTCCATCACAAGGAGCGGTTGATGAGGCCACGCACTACGACCAAGCCCAGGACGAGCAGCTGATCCACCTCCGGCGCCACCGTCAGCGTCAGCACGTCCTCCCCTAGCACCACCCCCGCCGCCGTCTGCTTCCGCGCCACCTCTGCCACGGCCGCGCCATCGACGCCGCGGACTGTGTACTCGGGCTTGCGCGCGCCGGAGCACCCGGCGATCCTGTAGCACGTCCTCGCGCCGCCGTGCATCGTCACGGCGGCTCCGCCCTTCTCGGCCCGTCGCACGCTGAACCACGGCGTCGCTTCCTCGTCCTCGTGGCCGTTGTGGGCGCACCGGGAGACCTCCCACCTCCTGAACATGCCGAAGCCCTTGCGCCTGATCCTGATGAGGGCGTTGCCGGCGCGGTCCATGAAGAGGACCTCGCGGCCGCCCCTGCAGCCGTAGTTGTCGACGCGGAAGGCGACGGCGCCGTCGGGGCCGTACACCGCGCAGCCGTTGCCGTTGAACACCAGCGACTTCATCCACACCGTGTACGCTTGACGGTTCTGGTGGTGATCTCCGGAGGAAGAGGTGGAGCAGGAAGACGAAGGAAGGGGCTGGATCTTGGCCATTGAGGAGAGAGGAGAGAGGAGAGATGGAAGAAGAAGATTGCTCTGCTCTGCTCGGCTCGGCTCGGCTCTGCTGCTGCTGTTTGGCCTATTTATTCAGGACGTGCTCTGAAGTGGACTACTTCGTTCGTTATTCCCGTGTCTTGATTAGTTTATGGCACTGTGAGCGTCACACGTTGGGATAGAATAGTGCTGCACTCGATTAGTTGTTTATGCTCCATCTACTCCCAGTCAGCATGCGATTAGCACCACGATTAGTGATTCATCCAAGAGTTGAGACATGGATATATAATTAAACCTAGATGTAATGCAATGCTGAACATGTGTGTGTGTG